TCTGATGCTTAAAGCTTCTTGTCCATGGCTCTTGTTGGATGGTTTTCAATAGAGGTGATTGAGATTGTAGGGGAGCATTTTTGGTTGTCCCCATGCCTGGGGGCACTACTAAGAATGCTAAACTTAGTCCCCGCAACAAAGAATCATCCTGTCCAATATCAACATTATACCCATGGAGAAACACTGGCATGGATTTGTACTAGGATGTATGTGGGCAAAGCTGTCTTCCCCAAGTGGACCCTCAGTGCATGCAAATCTCTGATGGTGGCTTCCAGGGCTTGTGGGCTAGAGAGAGCCACTTACAAACACGATCTTGAGAGACCTGGGCGCATGCAGCTGCGCTGAGAGTGATGCCAGTGAGACCAAAGACAAAGTTCCGAGCTCCTCATCAACTACAAAATATGACATCAGCATTCCAGGTTCTGGGCTTCTCCTCATCTAGGAATTGAACAGAAAGCAGCCCGAATAAACCCCTGATGCTAGAGGGGCCTGGGGAGAGCAGCCGATGGGGCTCAGCCTATATACGGCAGGCCGATCAGAGCTCCTGTGGAGCGAGAGCGTGAGAGCATGCTTGTGAGATGGCAGGAGGTGGGGTGTGCTTGTGTGGAGTGTGCGTGTGCAGGCAGTATGGGTGCATGGTGACGTGACTGTGGAGTGGGTGGGCTGTGCATGGAAGGGGTGATGCATGATGGGGAGATGCTGGACATTTCAGGAGCCGTCTTTCTTGGCCTGAGCTGTGCCTGTTGAGGCATCTGGAGACTGAGAAAGAATCAAAGATAGAGAAGACCAGCCGTGTTCCTACATTCCATCACTCCATGACTTCATCTCACTGTTACAGACAGCTGCCATCAGAGGGCTGGCGGGAGGGAGTTCCAGGAGCAGGGACTTCTCGGGAAAATCCTATAGCTTGCTTTACTTTACTTTGTCCCAGGTTGGAGTCCCTACCCTCCCACCTCCCACCTGATATGCAGTGCTTTTGACTATCTTATGCATGGTTTATTCCTCTGGCTTGGATGACAACAATACCCATAGTGAATTTTCCTATATAACTATAGATCAAATGATGCAGCGATGGGTCTTGGGAGGCCTCAGGTGTGTGAGTGCCTCTGGGAGGCGCGGATGTACACACACCCAGAACTCACTTGTGTTCAAGCACAGAACGGATGTAATCAGACTGGCCTCTACAACAAGTTTTGCATTGTAGAATTGTATTTAGCTTTGCCTTGGATGAAATAAAAATTATGTTTAATAGTTTGGGATTTGGGCGCTTCGATTTTTGACTGATTGGGGGTTGGGGTCCAGTTTTATTTCTTGCCAGCTGTGCTCAGGACAAGTTCCTTTACCTTCTCTGAGCCTCAGTCTGTTTGTGTCTGAAATGTTACCTGCCTGGGTGAAATAACACATACAAACTGCTTAAGAACCTCTGGCACATTCACAGGCGTTTGGGTTGTTTTCATTCCCATACCTTCTCTGGAGAAGTTGGCAAGGTGGACCTTTAATACTGGAATCGTTGCCAGGGCCCTCCTGGTATGGATGACCTTGGTCATGACCCTGGCACCACAAATGTCACAACAGCTCCTCCTCCAGGCTCTCTCTCCTTCCCTCCCCCGGGTTAGTATTTAGGTCCAGGTAAAATCTGCTTCACACGAACGCCTACCTTCCAAAGAGAGTTTCCCGGTGCTGGGCATAAGGCCAGTGCCTGGGAAGGAACTGGGGATACATACCAATGTGTAGGTGTTTGTTTATATTCTTGGACTTTCTCATACCACAATTTCTTACCATACTGTATTCCCTTCAATGGATTCACCTCACACTGCATTTCAAAAGGTTCCAGACACTAAGTACTCAGAAGAGCTTGTTGAAAGACCCTGTCTTCTCTGTCAAGGACTCCAGGTATGCAGAATCAGTTTTGGCAGATGTCCCTGCCAGCTCTGCCTCCTCCAGCCCTCAGCTATAGAGACTGCACTGTGCTCCTGCCCTGAATGGATTCACCACCTGGGTTCCCCACACAGCCACTTTCCTGTCTTCAGGTACTTCCTGTAGCCTGGGACCTCCTGCTACCTTTGCATCTGCAGTACACCGGTTGGATATTGAGGTTTCGTGCGGCAAGCCTGGGTTTAGAACACTTGGGATGCCATGCATTGAACTTGCAGTTACCCCTGTAAGGATCAGTCCCCAGGTCTGATTAGGTCTCTGTCATTGCTCTCTTTCATCCCTACTTCCTTTCCCCACCCAACAGCCATTATAACTGACAGATGGCCCAATGTCTCAAAACCACATTAGGAACTGGGACTGTCCTGGGCAAACCTGGATATAGGGTCACTCCCTGTTAAGCTCCATGCTAGCCCCACACTAACTCAATGGGGACTAACATACACACAAATTAAGGGTCCTTAATCTGAGCTGGTGGCAGGCACGCAGATCAGATTGACTTTAGGAGGTCTGTACACCTAAAAATAAAGGTGAAAGTGAACATACGTGCTTAGGGGATCTTTCAGAAGGCCTTGGTACAAAAGCTGGGAATTATCTTCTACTCCCCCACATTGGTGTTAGGAAAGAAGCTGGTTACACTTTCCTCTCCTGCCTCCTCAAGTATGTCATCTTCTCCGTTGCTTTCATAAGAGAGAGGGGAGCTTTGCTGACCCCAAGGGCTAGGTCTTTGCATTAAAGGAACAGAAAAGATTTCTTTTGATAGACCCTTTGTTTGGCCTTTGGGCCTAATTTCTTTGTCTTTGGCCAACTCTCCTCCCCCCCTTGCATTCTGCAAGCCCCAGATTGGGTCGGTTGACTCCCGGTGGAGAACAACCCTTTAGCTCCCTATGTTCAGCTTTCCAGGAGGCTGGGGGGTATCCGTGCAAATTCACACACTTAACAGAGGAGGCAACAGCACAGGTGCATCTGCTGCAAAATGGTAGACAGTTACCAAAAAGAAGTCTGGACCTTAGGAGTAAGCAGTCTCTCAGATTGTGGGGAAGGTGGCTCTTCTAGATTATGGGAAGGGGGAACCCTGGTCTCTGACATTCAGAGGCTAATTGGAGGAAGAGGAGGCCAAGAAGGGGACTGATGAGGAAGCACCCAAGGGCAAAGCAGAGTGATGTCTTTGAGGCCAATATAGAAACAGTGTTAAGAACAGGGTGACCATCGCTAAGTTAAGGACTAATCCTTGCCCCTTGGTCACTGGTGACCTCAGTGAACCCAGAAAAGTGAAATGGGTCAGCCAGATGCGGGGAGATGGCAGAAGCTTGATTCCAGTATGTGGAAGAGTCAGTAGGAGGTGGAAAATGGCCCTGGTGCATAGGTTACAATTTCAAGTAACCTAGCTGTGATAGGCATTGGCCCTGGTAGGAAGGAGGGTAGATGATTTTCTTTTAAAGATGGAAGAAATTAAAAAAAGTTAAATGCGCATGAGGAAGAGACAGTGGAGCCAGACAGCCTGCAGTAGTTGAGAGAGAGGAAAGAAAGTGTCATTTGGGTGGACGCAAGGGGATAGGATCCAGTGGCCAGGCAGAATGATTGGCCTTAAGACAGTTCAGGTCACACCTCTGGCACCAAGACAGAGGAAAGGGTGTCAAGGCGAAATGAATGCAGGTAAATCTGCAGAGGGGGCAGGGCAAGAGGTGGAGAGACTTTGCTTTACAGTCCTTGGTTCCTATGGTGTTATCAAGTCATTTGGAGAGCAAACTTAAGGTTGAAGCCAAAGAAAGCTGAAGACCCTCCCAATTCAGGAGCCCCAGGGCTCCCACTTCCTCAGGCAGATGAGATTGTAGGGGATTGTAAGGGCAGCCCTTCCGCTGCCATTCTAACTGGACCTGTGCACACTGTAGCAGCAGAGGGCACACAGCAGGAGGGGGGATGTTCTCTCATAGCTCATTGCTTAAACAAAGCCACCTGCAGTGCTAACAGGAAAGATGTAGGGTTCCCTTCCACGGCCTGCAAGCAGATATAGAAAAGAACAATCCTGGACTTAGAATCCAGGAACCTGGGTTCAAGTTCTCACTCTGTTACCTACCAGTGAAATGGCATTGGGCAAGCCACTTCATCTCTCCAACACTCAGTTCCCTAACCTGCAAAATGGGAATGATGAAACCTACTGCATAGTACTCTTGTGAGATTAAATGAATCAACAGGTGTGATATACATACATATATATATATATATATAGAGAGAGAGAGAGAGAGAGAGAGAGAGTCTCACTCAGGCTGCAGTACAATGGCACAATCTCAGCTCACTGCAACCTCCACCTCCTAGGTTCAAACAGTTCTCCTGCCTCAGCCTCCCAAGTAGCTGGGATTACAGGCGTGTGCCACCAGGCCCAGCTAATTTTTTTATATTTTTAGTAGAGATGGGGTTTTGCCACGTTGGCCAGGTTGGTCTTGAACTCCTCACCTCAGGTGATCCGCCCGCCTCAGCCTCCCAAACTGCTGGGATTACAGACGTGAGCCACCACGCCTGGTCTGAAATACTTTAAAAACTACAAAGTGCAGGCCATGTAAATGTTAAGCAGTTTGTAAGCTGAGCCAGCATTACGGGAAGAAAACCCAGGTATGGCCAGCACTGAGCTCACACCCTCCTGTTCCTGGTCAGGAGGGGCTGTCAGCTGAGTGGGTCGGGGCTGGGAGGGGAGTGGCCAGTATTAAGAAATGACTTCCTGGCAGACTTGGTTATGTCAACTGCCCAAAACCAAACTCATGATCTCACCTCAATCTGACTCCAAATCTGCTCCTCCCCACGTTTCCCCATTCATCCAGTCATCAGGCCAAAACTTTTAGAGTCTACCATGACTCCTTATTTTGTCTTCGACCTGAAACCTTTTTATCAGCAAATCCCATTGGCTCTACGTTCAAAATATATCATCACCTCAACTACCTCTCGCTGCCACCATCCCTACAGTCCTGACCCAGGCTGCCCTGGCTCTCCCTTGGATTATTGCAGTAGCTTTCTCACTGATCTTCCTGCTTTAGGTCCTCTTTAGTCTAATTTCCAGGGTGGTTCTTTTAAAACAGGATTAGATGATGTCATCTCTAGTTCTGGCCAAGATGGAGGCATAGTGACCATTTACCCTTATACCTTAAACAACTGAAAAATTGGAAAACACATATGATACAATGGTTTTCAGACCCTGGACAATAGGCAGTGGAGAATTGTCATTCCTGAGAGGGAGAAACACATGAGATGAACTTCACTATTGCTCCAGCTTACTGCCTGGAGATAGTTTCCAGGCTGCAGTGCCTGGAAGGCTGGGGAGGGGGCCCCAGGCTAAGCCTAGCATCGTCTCTGAGTTGTGGAGAGGTGCCAAGAATCTGGAGGAGGTTAGGACAGTAAGAGTTTGCAGGACCAGAGAACCTTGGAGGGTCCCCCCAAGTTTTCAGCTGAGCACTAATAGTGCAGATGTGTGAGGAAACTATCTAAGGTGAGGGAAGGAGCCTCTAAAAAGGATGAGGAAGGAAAATCCCTGGAGCTCACATAGGGCAGCCTTTAATCCAGGGCTGACCTCACCCCACTACTGAGGTAATGCCCTTTGAACACTCTTCCTCATCTCTCATGAATTAGGAAGTTTTGCCATTTTACTTGAATGCAATGTGAACTACTCTTGGCCCTGTGTGAGCTCCGGGGATTGCTTCCTCTGACCGTTTCTGGTGGTTCTTTCTCAGCCTCAGGCGTGCCTGGATCCGCAGCTGAAGACTCGCGGGGACCCTTTGCAGGTCTCTGGAGTGCTGTCTCTGTGAAGCTATCTCTTCTCTGAGACACTGCCCAGTCAGCCCTATCCACTGGACTCCTAACTCCATCTCCTTGATTCTGGGAGGTTGCCAGACTCTGCCCGAGTCCCCTTTCCTGGTGCTGTAGCAATTGGAGGGCTCCCTCATTTGGTGCTCCTCTCTCAGAAATCACTGACCTGTGCTGCTGATGCCCTGTGTCTGAAAGCCATTTTGTGCATTTTTTCCCCTAGCGTTTTAGTTGTTTCAGATGGGAAAGTAAATGCATTTTGTGTTACTGCATTCTTGTCAGAGGAAATTCATGAAAATTTATGTTCACTCAAAAACCTGTACAGAGTTGCTTCTAGAGGTTTTGCCATTGCCAAAATGAAGAAATAACCTAAATCTCCTTTGACTGGTGAGTCGATAAAACAAACTGTGTCTAGCCATACAATACAGTGGAATATTCCACAAAATCCCATGCACGATGGGCTTCTCAATGCAGTATGCTAAGTGAAAGCATTGGATGAATCTGTAATGCAGTATGCTGGGTGAAATAATTCAGACTCAGAAAGGTACCTGCTTTATCATCTGTGACCCATGCATGTACCACTCTCGTGGGGGTGGTTGCTGATAATGAGGGAGGCTCCTGCATGTGTGGAGGCAGGGAATATATATGAAATCTCTTTACCTTCTGCTCAGTTTTGCTGTGAACCTAAAACTGCTCTAAAAAAAAAACAAAATTAAGGGTTGGGTCGGTTGCGGTGGGTCATGCCTGTAATTTCAGCTTTGGGAGCCTGAGGTGTGAGGATCCCTTATTGAATAAGTAGATTTCTATGGCAAAGCAGAATAGTGCTAATTTTTCCTCTTTCAATATCATTTCAGAATAAGAGCCTGGTGTGATTGCCAACTCCAGTGGTGACAAAAGGATGGTGATTTTTTCTTTTCTATTTTCTTCTGTTTGTTTACAAGTTTTCACTTATTATAGCTTACTAGTGAAGTGAAACTTTCGTGATTATGTAGTGACTCTCTTTATCCTAAAGTCAGTTTTGTCTTTTTGTCCTAAATCCTTATTTAGAAAAATATTATACAGCTACCCCCGCTTAAATTTGATTAAATGCTTGCTCTCTGTATCTTTCTCCACCTTTTCAGTTTTAATGGTTCTGTAACCTGGTGTTTTGTGTATGTTTGTTACAAATAACATATAGCTTGCTCTTACGTTTTTATCCAATTTGCCTATTTCCGTATACTATTTGGTGAATTTAACATTTATTGTGATATTATATTAGTACTTTTTTTACCATCCCACTTTGTATATTCTATTTGTTCCATTTTTCTGTGCTTTACCCTCCTTAGTGCTCTTCCTTCCCCACCTTTCTCTTTTGTGCTTGCTTGGTGTTTTTTGTTTTTTATTAATCAATTGCTACTTTCAATTGTTTTGGAAGTGACACACTTTTATTTCCATTCTTTTGTTGATTACCCTTTTAACCATCTAGAACATAGTACAAACATTTTATGTAACATAGCATTAATATTTAATCTTCCTCTTGAACAATTTAAGAACTTTATTTATTTTTATTTTTATTTTTTTTGAGACAGAGTCTTGCTCTGTCACCGAGGAGTAAAGTGGCCGGATCTCAGCTCACTGCAAGCTCCGCTTCCCGGGTTTGGGCGCCTGTAGTCCCAGCTACTCGGGAGGCTGAGGCAGGAGAATGACGTGAACCTGGGAGGCGGAGCTTGCAGTGAGCCGAGATCGCGCCACTGCACTCCAACCTGGGTGACAGAGTGAGACTCCATCTCAAAAAAAAAAAAAAAAAAAAAAAAAAAGAAGAAAATGCCTTTATTCTTGAAAGATAGTTTTGTAGGGTTCACAATCCTTGATTGATTGTTATCTTTTGGCATGCTGGAGATATACTTCCACTGACTTCCAGCTCCTTTATTGCTGTGGGAAAGCCTGTTGTCAGTCTAATTGTGGTAGATTTGTGGTACTGTGGGTGGTCTGGGTTTTCTTTCTCCTGCTGTAATGAGTTTCTTATTGTCTTTGGTGTTCTGCAGTTTCATTATAATGTACATAGGTGTGGATTTATTCTACTTTTTCCACCTTGGTTGCATATATGTACACTATGGTGGTGTATGTTCTGTGGATTCACACCTTTCATCAGTTCTGGAACATTCTCAGCTCTTACCTCTTTGGATATTGTCTCTCTCTCATTGTCTTGATTTTTTCTTTCTGGGACTCTGGATATGTTAGAGTTTACCATTCTAGGGTTCATTGCTCCTGGCCTTGTTTTCATAGTTTTAATCTCCTTATCTCTGTCTGCTGTTAAGCCTAGTCACTTCTTCAACTTATCTTCCAGTTCGTTTGTTCTCTCTTAATTGGTGTTTTAAATGTTATTTACCCCATCCACTTAGTTTTTTATTTTTATAATTATAATTTTTATTTCTAAAAGCTCTATTTGGTTCTTTTTCAAATCTGCCTGTTATTTTTGCTTGATTATTAAGATATCCATTTTTAACAGAAAATAACAAGTGTTGGGGGGGATATGGAGAAATAGTAACTCCTGTAAACTGTTGATGGGAATGTAAAATGGTGCAGTCTCTGTGGAAAGCAATATATCGGTTCCTCAAAAAATTCAAAATAGAATTACCATATGATCCAGCAATTCCACTTCTGGGAATATACCCAAGAGAATTGAAAGCAGGGCCTCAAAGAGATATTTGCACACCCATGTTCATAGCAGCATTATTCACAACAGCCAAAAGATAGAGGTAACCTGAATGTTCATCAGTGGATGAATGGATAAACAAAATATGGTATAAACAATATAATATTATTCAGTCTAAAAAGGGAGGAAATTCTGACACATGCTACAACATGGGTGAAACTTGAAGACACAATGTGAACTGAAATAAAACAAGTCCAAAAAGACAAATACTGCATGACTTCACTTAAATGAGGTACCCAGAGTAATCCAGTTCACGGAGACTGAAAGCACAATGGCAGTTGCCGGAGATTGGGAGGAGGGGAAATGGAGAGTTGTTTGATGAGTACTGAGTTTCTATTCTGGAGATGGATGGTGGTGATGACTGCACAACAATGTGAATGTACATAACACCACTGAACTATACACTTAAAAATGGTTAAGATGGCAACTTGTGTTATGTGCATTTGACCACAGTTAAACATAATTTTAAAATGTGGAACTAGTATTCATTTTTTATTTAAATATTTTATAAATTATCATATTGGTATAGTGTGGTAGTTTACAGCAAGACTCTGTATTCCAAGTGCTCATATTCAACTTACAGTCTATAACCTCAAGCAAGGAGCTTAACCCCATTGTGCCTTAGTTTTTTTAATCCATCAAGTGAGGATAAGAATAATACCTATCTCATAGATTTCTGCGAGTATTAAATGAATCAGTACATGATGAAGCACTTACAGTAGTGTCTGGCACATACAAATACTCTGTAAATATTGCTTATTATTATAAGTCTCTAATATTCTGACATCTGAAGCCTTTGGGGTTCTAAATTAGCTTGTTTTTTTATGCTGCCCACTTAAGATGTTTTTTATTTTTCAACATCTCTGATCTTTGATTGTGAGTTCATATTTGGAGGATCTTTGGGAATCCTGAGGCTCTAAATTTGAGATATTTTCCTCCAGACCATCTGCAATTTGAGACCACCTTTACTGCCATCAGTTATCTCTGCTTCATGTAGGAGCCCTGGTTCAGCTCCCTTGTCTGCAGCGTGTCCAGGTTTAGCTCCCCTGCCAGCCTCCTCCATATAGGTCTCGACCCAAGATTTTAGTTTATTGCTCCCAGATCATCACCTTAGTTTCCGCTCACAGTTCTGATAGTTTTGTTTTATTTTGTTTTGTTTTCTGGGTTTCTATTTTCTTTGTTTTTGGCATTTGAGAAATTCTGTTGTTTCCTAAGAACCTAGTACAATATGAACAAGTATATTTCATCTAGGATCTGACTTAACTATAGCAAGAGAGTCCTCAGAAAACCCAGGCTTTCACACAGCTGCCAAAAAAGTCCATGGGGCTTAATTCTTTGACCATTTTGAGTGCAGGGACTTATTCATGCTTACATCCTCACAACCCAGCTTGGGAGCTGCCTCATACCCGGCAGCTGATCCTTTTTGTTTTTTCAATGTAAGAAGCCACACTGAGGGCTCTCCGGGTGGAAAAAGTTAGGACACAGGACCAGCATTTCTTTCCAGCCACTTGGGCATCCCTGATCGAATGTCACCCTTGACTGCCTAACTCATCTCCTTCCCAAGGCACAGGTTATCCCTGGCTCCTGGCTGATGATCACAGGCAGGGAGGGAGGGAAAGAAGCAAAGGGAGAAGGCCCTGTGTGGGAAGGAAACTTGCTCACCCTGGCTTCTCTAATCTGCAGCTCACTCTTGCTGCCACTCAGCAGATCTGGTCTCCCTAACTCTTTTTTCCCCTGCCTCTACTTTGAGACTCAATTGCTTCCCCAGAACTTTTTTTCTCCCCAAGTCAAAGAATGAAGGTTCAATGGTCCCAGCTCAGTTCTTATCAAGCATTCCAGCTAGCCTATGCCAGAGATGTCACACGGCTCTTTAATAATAGTGGCCATAGCTGTAATAACAATCACAACAGTCGGTAACAGTAATCACACCAACAGTAGGGCAGTGCATTTTATATTACAACTGGTTTCTTGCTCCAGTAGGCTTTGGGGATGGGTGAAGACGGACAGGGCTGGCACAGACCCTTTCCTCCTCCTCTCCAGCCCACAGTGATCTGGGCTTTCACAAGACAGCCTGCTTCCATTCAGTAGTGTGGGAAAGTTCCTTCTCGGCTTAGCAATACCCCTGAGACCTTGGCCTGCAGGCTGGCGTGTTCAGTGGGCCGCATCTCTCCGTGGGATGCTGGGAGCACCAAGTGTGGCTGAGCTCGGGCTGCTGACTTCCTCTGGGCGCCTCTGGGCTGTGAGGGTCTCTTACAGGAATTGAGGCCCTTTGCTGCTCCAAGAAATGCTGAGGTTGTGGGCAGAGGGGTGTACCCAAGGGGGCTCTTGCTCTGTGTCTGACTTTGGGGATCCCCAGGTGGGCAGGGCAGGAAGGAAGCGGCTCCCAGCACTGCAAAGGGGCGGCAGCATTACAGCTCAGCCTAGAATAAGAGAGACCGATGAAGAGAAACTCAGATTATTTGAAACTGGACAAAGTGGTGACATGTGCAAAATGAGTCTTCCTTTTCTGAGGCACTTTGCTTCTCTCCCTACCCTGCAGAGGGCCAGGAGGTCTCATGAGCCTTTCCACTCTCTTCCTTATCAGAATCTTCTCTCTAGAAAGGATCTGATAGTCTCATTCTGTCAGAAAAGAGAAAGAAAGGCTTGGTGTGTTCTATTCCCTAAGGTATTTGCATTTAACAGAAATCTCTGACCTAAGGAATTTCAGCCTTAATAGTGCAATCGCAGGCTGTCCCTTGCTTGGAGGGAAAGTTATTTGGGATGTAAAGAGTTGTCAGAGCCATTTAAATCAAGCCTAAGGATGGATTGGCACCTCCCGGGTAGAGGACAGGAGGGAAGGCACAGTGGGTACGGCAAAGGTGCCTTACCTTGCGGACATTGTAGATCCAGTTAAGATAGGCTGAGACCTTGGTGTACACTCCTGGGGTGCTCGGGCCCCCGCAGCCATAGCCCCAGCTAACGATGCCCACCACCTGCCACTGGTCAGATTGGTACATCAGGGGCCCACCACTGTCACCCTGTGAGGGACCAGAACAGAGACTGCTGGGGAGGGCAGGTGAGGTTGGGGGGGGCTTCTCCTTCCCGGCTTCCTGAACTGGCCCATCTGTTCCCCTGAACTCCCTGCTGCCCTCCGATGTTCCACCCTCACCCTCTTTGCTCATTAGCACCCTGGAATGCTCTTCTCTTCTGGGGCAGAAGGGCTTGTCTGTGGGCAAGTAAGTTGCAAGCGTGCTGTTAGCCTTCTCTCAGAGATTCACAGCTCACATTAGCAAATTAAAGGCTCTGAGAGATGCCGTAAAAAAAGTCTGGTTATTGGCCAGGCGCGGTGGCTCTCGCCTGTAATCCCAGCATGTTGGGAGACTGAGGCGGGTGAATCACTCGAGGTCAGGAGTTCGAGACCAGCCTGGCCAACATGGTGAAACCCTGTCTTTACTAAAAATACAAAAATCAGCTGGGCATAGTGGCAGGTGCCTGTAATCCCAGCTGCTCAGGAGGCTGAGGTGGAGAATCACTCGGACCAAGGGGCGGAGGCTGCAGTGAGCTGAGATCAAACCGCTGCACTCTAGCCTGGGCAACAGAATGAGACTCAGTCTCAGAAAAAAAAAAGCCTGGTTATCATTGTTTAACCTAGTAGTTCCAAAATTTATTTAATTACTTATAGAGTGCCTATTTTGTGCCAGGTAGGGTTCTAAGCAATTGGGATCCAACTGATAAAAAAACCAAAAGATCCCTGCCCTCAGAAAGCTTAGGATCAAATAGGGTGAGAGACAGTGAACAAGCAAATAACAAAACAAGAAAATGCCAGATAGTGAAAAGTGCACTTATCTGGGAGTCCTTATCAGCTCCTTTAGCCCCTGGGGCTTCCTCCCTCTGAACCCAAAACTAGCCTAAATGCCTGTTTAATGCTACCCCCTTTCTCCCAACCAGTGTGAGATCCCTGAGGGGTCTCCAAAGACTACCATGTTCATGGTACACAAGCGATGACTAAGAGATGCCTCTTAAGTGAAGGAATTTAATGACTGGAAATGGAGGTGAGAGTAGGGTAGGGGTTTTAATGAAAATGGTTCAGGCCAAGCACGATGGCTCATGGGAAAATCCCTTGAACCCAGGAGTTTGAGACCAGATTGGTGCAACACAGTGACCCTGTCTCTATTAAAAAACATAAAAGAAAAAATAGAAAAAAAGAAAATGGTTCAGACGATCCTCTGGAAGTATGGGGGAGGAAGAAGGTCTACAGGGATTGCTAAACAGTCCTGATGGCCAATGAGGCCAGGGTGAGGGGCACGCACGGGGGCTCTTCCAGCATCCTGCAGGTGGTAGTTCTTTCCTAGTGTAGTTCAGCAGCTTGGGGACAATCACAGAGAAAACAGACCTGGGATTCCTGACCTCAAGGGGCTAATCATTCCGTAGCTAGTGAGAAGAGTGGGTGGGGAGGATGAGTAATGTAATCTTTGTTGTTGTTGTTTTTAGATGGAGTCTTGCTGGGTCACCCAGGCTGGAGTGCAGTGGCGCAATCTTGGCTCACTGTAACCTCTGCCTCCTGGGTTCAAGCAATTCTCCTGCCTCAACCTCTCAAGTAGCTGGGGTTACAGGTGCACCACCATACTCGTCTAATTTTTGTATTCTTTTTAGCAGGGATGGGGTTTTACCATGTTGGCCAGGCTGGTCTTGAATTCCTGACCTCAAATCACCTGCCCTGCCCGCCTCACCCTCCCAAAGTGCTGGGATTACAAACGTGAGCCACCACACCCAGCCGGTAACATCATCTTTGAATGTGAAAGAGATTCTCTGATTGTCTGCATCAATCCATCCACCTACTCATCTATTCGTACATCTTTATCTGACTGTATCCTTTCCTTCCCTCCCTTTCTTCCTCCCATAATCACACATTGAGTGCCCGTGATATGCAAGGCTTCCTGTGGGGCATGCAGCCTTTGGGTTTTCTCATCTCTCTAGAACCTAAACCCTATTCCTAGAACTCCCCATGATTCTTGGAGGCCCCACCTGGCAGGTGTCCACACCCCCTTCTGGGATGCCTGCACACACCATCTTCTCGGTGACTTCCCCCTGGTACGCATCGTCTGCATTGCACCGTATGCTGTCAATGACCTGGACTGACGCCTGCAGCAGTATGTCAGACATCTTCCCTGGGAGGGTAAAAACACTCACATTCCCATGCTTGCCTTCTATCCCCCAGCCCTGGATTGCCAAACCACTTTGCTTTCTGCCTGGCGCCTTGGTGCTTGGTCCTCTGGGATGGGTTTCTCTGAAGGATGGTCTTCCTTCCCATCACTTCTGGAAGCTGCTCCCTCATACATGGGCATCTCCTGCCCTGGGGTGCTACACCCAGGACTTACCTCCATTTTGCTTTGTAAAGCCCCATCCAATGATCCAGAGTGGGGTGGCTGGAGTGAGCTCCTCATCAAAGAAGGGCAGGCAGATGGGCCTGACCGTGCCTGCCAGGAGCACAAAGGAAGAAGGAGATCTTTTATTCATCATAATTGTTAATTTTCTGTAAATTATGATGCTTTATGATTATGGGGATCTTGCTGGTCTGGGAGAGACTGGGTTAGCTAATTCCTGCAGATAGTAAGCAACTTGGCTCTGGGCATGCCTTTAATAGGCAAACCAGCCAACCCAAAGCCTGTATCCCCAACCATTTCCTTTATCTGACTCTCAGACACCAAGCCAGTATTTTCCCTGCCCTAAATCACCCCAGGGACAGATACTAGACAACCAGAGGCTGACCTCTATAGCCTAGAGAATTGTCCACACTCTCCAATCCCAAGCATGCTCAATCTTGCCTTCCCTACCTTGGCCAGACCTGCCCATGGAAGCCACGGGTGGTTCTGGGCCATGCCTTCCCCTCACTCCTGTCTCCTGGTGGACCCAGATGCTCCCCAGGTGTCCCTGTGTTGTGGGGGTTTCTCTCAGAAGCTATAAATAATAACCTCTTCTTTCAAAGTTAGTTGTGTCTGTATCTGTCACCTTACCATACCTGATTAAAACAATTCCCAAGCACAAATCTTGAAACATACCCCAGGGTTCAGGAGAGCCTGGCAGTTAAGCTCTCTGAAAGGGGTCACACCAGGGTCTCTAGAACACTTGTTCCATGGGATGCTAGTAGAAGTGGCATGAAAAAAGGATTCTGTGGTCAAATAAATTTAGAAAATTTATGCAATAAAACAGATTATTTTAAAAATTTCTGATACCTTTAATAAACTAATGTGCTCCAAGAAGGGAGCTGTAGTATTAAAATGCTTCCCAAACTTATTTGACAATGGAATCCTCTCCTCTCCAAGGGGCCAGTGTCTTACGGACCCCACAGTTGGGAATGCTGATCTAAATACATTTCAATATAAGCACAAGGCATCCAACAGAGCTGTTCAAAGACTCTGCAGGCTGCTTTGCAGGTAATGGGTTCCCTGCCCCTGGAGGAGAGCAAACAGGAGCACAATGACTCCTTGGTAGGGATACTGAGCAGGCTCTCAGGTATTGGTCAGTGGTGGGGAATGAGCTCGATAATCTTTTTAAAAGGTCTCCTAAAACTCTAAGATCGGATGAAACTCCAGTTCTCCATTGAGGGGCTCCACATAGGGAAGACAGGCCTTGGAAGAATCTCCAGCATGGAATGGAGTGGAGGTGTTAGCTGACAGCTTGAGGAGGCCTCATGGCATCAGTGATGTTAGGCTGACATATTAGTTACAGACAAATGGGCAAGCTGAGGTCTTGAGAGGAGAAATTATGTGCCAAGGTCACTCAGTGAGCTAACAGCAGAGTGGATGTGAAAACTGATGGAAGGGGCTTGGGTGGCCTCAGGCCCTGCTTCTCACCTGAGAAAGTGAGTGGGAGCTGCAGCTTCATGAGGGCGATGTCATTGTCTTTGGGGTACATGGGGTTGAATTCAATGATGATGATCTTGGCCACAGCCAGGGATGGGAAACTGCCCAGTTTGTCTGAGCCAGCCCGCACCTTCCAGTTGAACACATCGGTATGTTTCCTGGGGACCGAGACAGCTGGGTTCAGGCCTGATCCAAGCCTGAGGAGGCTTTGCCAAAGGCTGGGTCCCCAGGGCCCTGGGGATTGGGGACTGGGTATCACTGCATTGGGAGGGAAAGATGGTGGTGGCGCAGGGATAGTAGAGAAGGGGCAGTCTTTTGGCACTTACAAGAAGTCGAATTCAAAAAGGGGATTTGACACTTTTTCTTTAGTGAAACCTGCCCAAGGAAATCTCAAGGAGGGCTGGGAAATGGGCTCCTCTAATGCCTGAGTTCTGGGGTCCTGGCGCTCTCTCCTCCAACCCTTCTCATTGTGTTACTCATGCTGTCAGTTACATTACGTGCTTTCTTTTTCCCAATGCCAGGCACAGCTTAGTGTGCAGAGATGTTTTTCTAAGAAAGAATTTATAGCTCTTGCCAGAATCTCAAAAAAATAAAAAACAACAACAACAACAAAATGGTTAAGAAACGCTGGCTTAGATCATGAGTGCCTTGAAGACAGCAGTGGGGTCTAATGCACTCGGGCACATCATCTGGTGCTTGGTACCTGGTAGGTGCTCATTAGATATTGAATGAATGAATGAATAAAAGTGAAGGGGGGGCGGGACATGGTGGCTCACACCTGTAATCCCAGCACTTTGGGAGGCCGAGGTGGGCGGATCACTTGAGATCAGGAGTTCGAGATCAGCCTGGCCAACATCGTGAAACCCTGTCTCTACTAAAAACACAAAAATTAGCCTGGCATGGTGGCACATGCCTACAGTTCCAGCTACTTGGGAGGCTGAGGCAAGAGAATTGTTTGAACCTGGGAGACGGAGGTTGCAGTGAGCCAAGATAGCACCATTGCACTCCAGCCTAGGCGACAGAGCAAGACTCTGTCTCAAAATAAATAAATAAATAAATAAATAAAAAGTGAAGGGGGCCTGGGAGTGGCCCTTCCCCGAGGTAAGGCCAGGCCTCTCTGTGGACTGAAAAGGAACCTATGCTTTTTAATTTTTTTAAAGTTTCCAGACATAATGAGGAAGTGGCTATGACTCTAGACCCTGGAACAACTTCCTGGAAACAAGCAAAAAGAGTGAGTTCTTGGAACTTCAGGCAGGTGGGAAGAGCTTTTGTGGCTTGAACGATATGGGGGTGGGGTGAGGACTCTGGGTATCTGATGGTGTCCCACCAGGAAGAGGCCATGCTTGGTGACCCGTACCCTCTGCTCAGACACCCAAATGCCTAACAAAGGGCATCATGGCCATTGTTTCATTGGGGCCACCACACCCTGGCAAACGTCTCTAGTGGGAGAGTGAAGAGAAGGAGGGTGTCAGGAGACAGGACTCCAAGCTCTCTGGCCCCTGACTGGCTTTGGTCCCCAGAGACCTCCTTACAGCTGGGGCCTTACCTGAAGCAATGGGCTGCTGTGAGGACCCAGTGGGGGTCCAGGATGCTCCCTCCACAGACGTGCTGTTTGTCGTACTGGATGCTGACCTGCCAAGGCCAAGAATCCACAGAGGCCTCCTTCCCGCCCACCACACGGGGGGTTTTCAGGCTCTCCCCACAGGCTGGACACAGGCAGAGGCAGGAAGTCAGGCTTTTGGGGATGAGGCTGCCTCCCCTCAGTACCCAACATGTGCTCTAAGCAGGGACCTTCTGGCTGGGGCCGGAGTGGGGAGAGGACCAGGCCAATTGGAGTTATTCATGGGAGGTATTGAGTGTCCCAGACCATAGGCTTTCCCCAAACCTCCCTCTCCTTTTTCTTTTTCTTTCTTTCTTTTTTTGGTTTAAGATGTATTCAGGAGGTTAGACTACGAACACGGGTGTGTCCATTGTGCTGGGAATTTGTGACCTTCCCAAGTGATGCAGAACTACGAAAGCCCTGCCCAGGTGGCGTGTCCCCAGCCACTCCCACTGAGTAACAGTAAACAGACACCCACAAGCTGTTTTGTGACTCGGAAGTGGACTGTCCCAAACTCCCCCTTCTCCAAGTCTGTTCCCCGTGCCAGGGGAGTCTCTCAATCTAACATCCTGTCTTCCTATTAACTGACCTGGCTTTCACATCCCCCGACCCCTGGAACTCCAGTAAAGCCCTCAGGTCCCACCTCTCCACCCATGCTCTGCCTCTCCAATTCTTCTGGCAGCCACCACCATGGTGGCCATTCTAAAGGGAAAGGCTGCTTCCCTTCCCTGTGTGTCAGGCGCCGTGCTGGCCTGGAGCTTTTCAAACACCATCTGATTTCAAACACTGCTTTCTCCATGCCACCTTGCCCGCTCCCCCAAAGCCCTTCAGGATCTCCCTTGAGGGCAAAGTAGAGTTTCCACTCCTCCTGGCAGCCTCCTGCTGTTTCATATAAAGTCTCTGTCTAGCCAAATTGATCTGCTTGTAGTTCTCTAAAAAGTCATTCTGTTTTTGATCCAAAAAGATGCCCTTCCCATTGAAATGCTGTCTCCTCTCCTAGTTCTCGAAATCAGGGATCCCCAAACCCTAACCCCCGGACCTCAAACCAGTACTGGTCCATGGCCTGTTAGGAACCTGGCTGCACATTAGGAAGTGAGCGGCAGGGGCAAGTGAGCATGACCACCTGAGCTTCACCTCCTGTCAGATCAGAGGTGGCATTAGATTCTGTAGGAGCACAAACCTTATTGTGAACAGCACATGTGAGGGGTCTATGCTGTGCGTTCCTCATGAGAATCTAGGCTAGGTGTGGCGGCTCACGTCTGGAATCCTAGCACTTTGGGAGGCTCAGGCGGGCAGATCAGCTGAGGTCAGGAGTTGGAGACCAGCCTGGCCAACATGGTGAAATGCCGTCTCTACTAAAAATACAAAAATTAGCCAGGCGTGGTGGCACATGCCTATAGTCCCAGCTGGGCTGGTGGCGGGCACCTGTAGTCCCAGCTATTTAGGAGGCTGAGGCAGGAGAATTGCTTGAATCCAGGAGGCGGAGGTTGCAGTGAGCCGAGATCGCAACACTGGACTCCAGGCTGAGTGACAAGAGCGAGACTCAGTCTCAAAAAAAAAAAAAAAAAAAAAGAGAGAGAGAGAATCTAATGCTTTCTATCCCCCTCTTGGTTTGTGGAAAAATTGTCTTCCATGCAACAAGCCCCTGGTGCCAAAAAGGTTGGGGACCACTGAATTCTAGATCATTCATTAATCTAACCAATTTGTGTCAAGTGCCCTGTCTTGGGGCAGTGCTGGGTGCTGGGAGAGAGTGGCGGGCAAGACAGACAACATGGGCTTTTCCTCCTTGAACCTACAGATGCATTTTTCAGTGTTTAGCCTGGGCCCCCAGTCCCTGGGAATTTCCCTTTCTCTGGCATTCCCACAGGCTGTTCTGGGTGTTGGCCACCCTTTCAGTGTTGTTGAGTTTAGGTCTTGTTTTCTTGGTAAAACAGAGGCCCCACAAGGGAGGACCTGTCACTTATGCTCCTTCATGCCTTCAGGGCTACTCAGTGCAGAACCTTAGATGGTCTGGCCATTTGTTCATTCATTCATTGACCAACCACTACGTGTCAGATCCCACACACTAGGTATTGTGGGGTCGGAGTGGGGAGCACGTGATAATGAATGAAACTCTCAACATCCTGCAGGGAAGCATACACACTCCTAAATTGCAGAGGCAGCATTGTGACCTTCTTCCCTTAGGTGTTCTAATTTCTGGCTATCCTTCCAGGCCAGTCTCAATTCTCTGTGAAGCTGGTAGGATGAGATGAGCCACAGTGCTTGTTTTCTTCTCTGATCTCCTCTGTTAGAGCTAGAAGGGTCCCTAGAGATCCTTGATGGGCAGCTGGACTAAACAACCTCTTGGGAAAATGAACTTCAGGAAGGTCAGGTGAATGACTTGAGGCCACACTGGAAGTGAACGGGACTGGTGCCCAGGTCTTCTGACCCCTGTCCAGCTCTCTCTGTAGCATGTCCACTGTGACTGCTACTCAGTCTGGCATTTTCCACATGCTGTCTTGCATCTCTCTCTTACTTAGTCATAAGCTACTGAGGATAGTGGCCAATTATTTCACTCATCTGGTACTTTCTACTTCTAGCCAACAACTGACAGAGTGAGACATATTCTAACTGTTCAATGAATATTTGCCCAAATAATGAATGTGGGTAATCTGATCTTGGATACCTGAGCTGATTGTGACGAAGAAGGCTATGTAGGTCCTGACCGGGGTGGTAGGCAGTGGAGGCCCCGTCCTGCCCTTTTCAGTCTTCCTAATGCTCTCTCCCAGGTCTCCACTTAGGTTGTGGAGCCATGCACAGATGGTAGAAGGGGGAAACTGAGGCTTGGAAAGACCCAGAAAAAGAAAGTGACCTGCCCAAGGCCACCAACAACTCGAGGGGGCATTGACCTGCAAGCCCAAGGGCTATAGACCAAGGCAGAATGAAACTTGGAGTCCCAGAAATTTAGGAGTGAAGATGAAGGTCTTCCTCCTTGCTCATTGCTGGCCCAGGCCCCAAACCCTCAGAGAGCGGGGGTACTCACCAAGACAGTGCAGGGAGACCAGGGAGCCTGAGAGACAGGGCCTGGAAAACAGACACAGCACCCTGTGATTTAAGCTTCTTGCTCAGCTGGGAGGTAGGGACTTAAGCCTCCCAATGCTATTAATTCAAGTCCCCTCCCAATACCTGGGGAATGTGGAAGCTGCACAGTGGGGAACATGTGGAGAGCGCATTGACATCCATTGCATTTCCTGCATTGACACTTCCATTTGATTGGATTCAACACCCCCACTGCTGAGTACCTATGGTGCACTGGGCCCTGCCTGCTTCAAAGCCTAGCCTGGGCTCCTGGGACCCAAGAGGGAAGAGGGCAGATCCAAGAACAGAGTCTGTGGCACTGCGGGCTTTCCAAATGGAAGAATGGAATTTTGAAGGAATTTTAGGCAAAGGATCATTCTGGACCAATCCTGTCCATTTCAAGATTTACTTTCAGTGAATGAAGGGGACCAGCCCCTTCACCACCTGTGGGCATTTCTCGTCAGGTGGAACGAGAGACTTGAGAAAAGAAAGAGACACAGAGACAAAGTATAGAGAAAGAAAAGTGGGCCCAGGGGAACAGCGCTCAGCATACAGAGGACCTGCACCACCTGCACTGCACCACCTGCACCGGGTCTCTTGAGTTCCTCAGTTTTTATTGATCATTATCTTTACCATCTCGGAGAGGGGGATGTGGCAGGACAATAGGGTAATAGTGGGGAGAGGGTCAGCAGGAAAACATGTGAACAAATGTCTCTGTGTCATAAACAAGGTTAAGAAAAGGTACTGTGCTTTGATGTGCACATACATAAACATCTTGCTGCATTAAAGAGCAGTGCTGCCACCAGCAAGTCTCCCCTCCAGCCTAAGGCGGTTTTCTCCTATCTCAGTAAATAGAACATACAATTGGGTTTTACACCGAGACATTCCATTGCCCAGGGACAGCAGGAGACAGATGCCTTCCTCTTATCTCAACTGCAAAGAGGCCTTCCTCTTTTACTAATCCTCCTCAGCACAGACCCTTTACTGGTGTCTGGGCTGGGGGATGGTCATGTCTTTCCCTTCCCACAAGGCCATATCTCAGACTATCACAGGGGGAGAAACCTTGGACAATACCTGACTTTCCTAGGCAGAGGTCCCTGCGGCCTTCCGCAGTGTATTGTGTCCCTGGGGTACTTGAGATTAGAGAGTGGTGATGACTTTTAACAAGCATACTGCTTTCAAGCACTAGTTTAACAAAGCACATCCTGCATAGCCCTAAATCCATTAAGCCTTGAGTAAACACAGCACATGTCTCTGCAAGCACAGGGTTGGGGGTAGGGTTATAGATTAACAGCATCTCAAGGCAGAAGAATTTTTCTTAGTACAGAACAAAATGGAGTCTCTTATGTCTACCTCTTTCTACATAGACACAGTAACAGTCTGATCTCTCTTTCTTTTCCCCACAGGTGAATAAGCGGCCCTCAGCAACATCCCTGAATGCTAAGAAGCCAGCCTCCTCTCTGAACCGCTTTGCCACAACGTGACAGATTTCAACTGGATGCTCTGCTCTAAAGCAGGGTGATGAGGCTCAGGAATGGGCCACCCACAAGGGCTGTGGAGCCTCTTCCCTGGAGCATCAAGAAGGTGGGGAGTTCTGGCTGGGTAAGTGGTGGGGAAGGACAAAGTGACTTTGGAATCTTGATTATTGGGCAATTTATTAGAAAATTTATGGCAGTAGCAAAAACTATTTACTATCCAGATTGATGGAAAGGTCACATTATCCACCCCTCTGACTTTGAATAGGACAACACACTTTGTCCAGCTGTCCATTGTGTTAAAAACAAGTCAACACAGAAAACCTTTCCAAAATGTGAGTCTATAGCTCTTGGCATTGAATGATCTGTCTGGCTAGGAGTTCTTCCTGATGTCTGGCTTACATTCCCCTGGCTGCTTAGGGTTCCAGGTGAGCTGGTTGCAACCTGAAGAGCAGCATCCATGTGGGGGCCTTCTGTAGGCCACAAGGTGTTCCCTCACTTACCCACTTGAGTTCCTCACATGAAGCTCCTGGCTGTTTTCTGTGATTTCAACAACATCCAGATCCTGGTCTGGGCCAATCTCCACAGCTCTGAAAGTGGGTTTGCTGCTCACATCGAGAGAAAGAGAGAGAGAGAGAGAGAGAGAGAGAGAGAGAGAGAGAGAGAGAGTTGTGAGCTGGGGCAGGGGGTTAGAACAAGATGGTAGAGTTGGCTCCCACTCTCAGGAGACAGGGTGGCGGAGAATGCCTGGTGGGGAGTGGCCAAGGAGTGGAGGTGGTCTTAGTCAGTGAAGATGGGGCTTGCTTTGCTATACTATAAAGAATATATCCTTGGCATCCCAGGACTCAACCCTTGGTGCTGTGCTGATGTAACTTGCTTTCTTGGGCAGGGACTCCAAATCCAGAACCCAGAGCCCTGGAGAAATGTTAAGGGTCTCCTTTCCAAACTCCCGGCTCTGCCCTTATTTCAAATATCCCAGCAATGTCTTCTGGTTCACAGCAGGGAAACAAAGAGGGATAGGGGCCCAGGTTAGCTCCCTTCTCACCTGGGAGGGAGTTGGAATGTGGATATTTGGTTCTCCAAACAAGGCATCTGGCTTGACTTTAATAGTGGGGGTATACTTTTGGCCCCCTTAGGGCTATTTAATAGAACAGGACTGGATTGTCTTCGTGAGAATCCAAACAAACGGTTATCTCAACTGGACCACCCTCCCTCTTTCTCTCTGCTAATCCACGCTTGCCTGCTTTCAAACCTTGGGTTGAAGTTTTTCCTCCAACAGGAAGTCTTCCCTGATTAATTCCATCTCTCTGATTGTTCCTTTACTGAATCTGCCTCTTCTAAATCTTTTCCTTCCATCCCCAACCATGCTAGTAATGCTAGCAGAAGCTCTCCATGGAGGGGTGGGTCAATCCATGATACTGGTGGTTTGGCACATTCTCAGGCAGGAATGCTGTCACTTCCTGGAAGGACCCAGGGAGGACTCGGACCTGGGAGGACTAGAGTCCATTTTAAGAGTCCTCATAATCTAGGTTCTGTCCCTGGTTCTGGCACTAGTTTGATGTGTGGTCTTGGGCAGGTCACATTCTTTTTCTGGGTCTCTCTAAGCCTCAGTTTCCCCCTCTATAAAAAGATGCATGGGGCTGGGCACAGTGGCTCACGCCTGTAATCCCAGCACTTTGGGAGGCCAAGGTGGATGGATCACCTGAGATCAGGAGTTCAAGACCAGCCTGGCGAACATGGTGAAGCCCAGTCTCTACAAAAATACAAAAATCAGCCGGGCATGATGGCGAGTGCCTGTAATCCCAGCTATTGAGGAGGCTAAGGTGAGAGAATCGCTTGAACTTGAGAGGTGGAGGTTATAGTGAGCTGAGATAGCGCCATTGCACTCCAGCCTGGGTGACAGAGTGAGACTCTGTAAAAAAAAAAAAAAAAAAAAAGATGCATGGACTAGATGATCCCTAGGGTCTTCCACATCTTGAAATGCCTATGGTTCTAGGACAAGAAGGGCCTCCAATCTAGGAGGAGGAAAGAAAGTAGAGAAATCTGAGACCTAGAAGGAGGAAATATGGTGGAAATGGACATTCCCAGGAAAGTTAACTTCTGTTCACCGATTCCATCCCAATGAATGATTCTGATGAACTTTGCTTTTGTAAAGCACAAGAGTCAGGTGGTTTGGTGCCTTAGTGAGCTCCAAAAGGACAGAAATTCCAGGAACCTATCACCTTAAGATCCTCTGGAGACACCTGCGTTTCATAATCAAGCCTCAGCCTACTGTGCTAGGTACGGCTGACGGCTGATGCAGCAATTGACTAGACTACAGTGGGGAGCGGGGGCTGGCTGCAGCGAGGCTGGGCTCAGTGGCTGTGGGAAGAGGGGAGAATAGCAGGTGCCGGGCATGACTTCCTCACTCTCCTTGAAATGAAGGTGGCGGGGTGTGCTTTCTGGAGGGTACTGGAAGTTGCCCCCTGTGGAGAGTAGAGAGCAGCAGAAGCCTGATGAGGAGAGAAGAGAGAGGCAAATAATTCTGATTGATTTGTAATGGCTGCCTGGAGCATTTACTGAAAAAGCACTTTGAGGCTGCATGAGGGATCCATGGGAGAGAGTTCTATGATCCATTGGTGATGTCTGCCTGGTAGAGATGTTTTTGTTTTTGGCCTAGTCTCTGGCCAAATCCTGAAGAAGTTTGAGGCCTGCCAGAGATAGGTTATCTTACTCTGCAACTGAATGCATGGGTTCCTATCCATCCTCTCCAGCTAAACTCTCTGAGTGATCAACCATCTCATCAGCCCCTTCCTTTATAGATGATGTCCTACATGAGAATAAAGAATCACCCAGTGTAGAAACAGAAACACTATGAGAACTCCTAATGTGCAAGAATTAGGGATCTTGGGCTCAAATTCTAGCCCTCTACCTCCCAACTACTACTCTAGCAAGTTACTTACTTTCTTTGAGCCTATTTATGAAATAGATATAATAACTATCTTTTTGGGTTTCTGCCAAAATCAAAAGAATATAAATATATAAAATGCAAATTACTCTTATTATAATCTTACACCTTTTCATCCACTCCAAATTTGGAACTGCTTTTGAAATTTGCAGAGAGAGCTGGGATTGCTGAAGATGGGGCCCCACTGAAACTAGGCTCACTTAAGCTAAATCTTAACCAACGAAACTTTGAATAAGTTAACTTGGCTTTTGTATTACTGGGCAGGAACAGTTTCTGGCAAAGTCAGGACAAAGGAGTGAAGGTTGAGGAGTAAAGGAAAGGAGAGGACTGCACAGAAGCTAGAAGTTGTGTGTGTGTGTGTGTGTGTGTGTGTATGTGTGTGTGTGTGTCGGAGGGCAGCACACATTCTCTCATTGGCATTCCAAAACCATCCTATGATGCATGGACTAGATGATCCCTAGGGTCTTCCACATCTTGAAATGCACATGGTTCTAGGACAAGAAGGGCCTCCAATCTAGAAGGAGGGGGTACTATGAGGTTGGTATTACTTCCCCCAATTCACTCCTGAGAAACCTGAGGCTTAGGAAATTTAACTTCATGTTGCTTATAAGTGAAATGCTGGGATTCAAAAGCCATTCTGCCTGGCTCCAATGCCTGTATTTTTTAGGAAAGAGAGAAGAAAGGAGGAAGGAAAGGAGGAAGAGGAGGAAAGAGGAAGAAGGGAAAAAGGAGAGAGGCTCAGGTTGGTTACCTGCTGTAGCCCATCTGCCTGCAGGCTGTCTCGGCCAGAGCTGCTGTGAAGTTGTCGAAACAGGCAGAGAACCAGTTCCCTGTGGCCGGGTCCAGCACCTGCAGGGTGGATCGGTCCTTGGAGAGGCGGACTAGAAGGAAAAGAACCTGGGTTAGATGGAAGGAGGGGCCCATCTGGCCCATCCCCCTCAGAACTCATCATGAGATCAGTCCAACCTCCCCCAGCCTAGAACTGGGGGTACCACAGAGCCCCAACACTTTCAATGTCAAGGGAATTTCCTCCATTTGGCTTTGTCTATTTGGGCCCCATTTTGACAGTAGCTAGTGTGACCAGACGTCCCGGAGTCAGTCTCTGTTTTGACCTGTTGCCCTGGCCCAATGGTTAATAGAGCCCCCTTTTGCTCTTACAGGTATCAGTTTTGATGATCAATTATGTGGTCACTCTACCCAGAGACCATATACAACTTGTTTAAATTGTATGGACCACATACCCATGGTCCATGCAACTTGCTCAGTCTGGGGAAATGTCTCAGAGAGGGACCTAGGTCCTTCTCCAAGAAAGGTCAGAGGGGGAGGTTGAGTGAGAAGTCCTATTGGCAGTAGGATGACAGGTGCATTTGACTTCTGATAAGGGCATTTGACAGGCATTTGATTTCTGATAAAGAAAGAGCAAATACACAGGAAGTCACTCAGCCCTGCCCTCAGAAGCCCCATCACTCATCTCCTACCTATCTTTATTTCTTCAGAGCCCAAGCACCAGGGGGATGAAGGTAGAAGAGTCCAGCCCAAGAGAGAATGTGGGTTTTATGCTCAAAACACCTATCCATTGAAACGACCTGGCTCAGTCCTGTCACATAGTGCATCTCAGCAAACACTAAAGAATAGAAGGACCAATAGCTGGCAAAGTGGCTGAGAAGTCTCTTTTCTAGTCTCCTTGAAATAACAGATCTCATAGAAAGGAGGAACGCTCCAAGGTCACCCAGTCTAGCCCTCTGCCTGAAATCCACCCAGGCGCAGCACGCATGGGGAAGGTTCAGTTACAATTTCCTGTCCTTTCTGGCTCACATTTGTTCATCAAATAGTTACTGTTTGCTGTGTGTTAAGTACTGGGATTTAAAGATAGACAAGACACAGTCCTGCTCTCAAGAAACTTATACAGCAGGGTACAGTGGCTCACGCCTGTAATCCCAGCACTTTGGGAGGCCAAGGTGGGCGGATCACCTGAGGTCAGGAGTTCGAGGCCAGCCTGACCAACATGGCAAAACCCCGTCTCTACTAAAAATATAAAAATTAGCCAGGCGTGGTGGCTGGCACCTGTAATCCCAGCTACTCATGAGGCTGAGGCAGGAGAATCACTTGAACTTGGAAGGCAGAGGTTGCAGTGAGCCGAGACCAAGCCATTGCACTCCATCCTGGGCCACAAAGCACTCTGCCTCAAAACAAAAACAAAAACACACAAACAAAAAAAGAACCTTATACAACAAGGATGAACAGTGACAAGTAGGTGGCAGATACTATGCAGTGGGCCATGGGGGCCTGAGCAGACCTCCTGCTGGGCCCACTCCTCTCGTCCCTCAGACCCTGCACTCACCTGCCACTGCAGGCCCTTCGGGGAAGCTCTTGACACAGTGCTCCTCATCCTCTCCCAAGGGACAGTCCAGCTCCCCGTCACACAGCTGCTTCCTTGGGATGAAGTGGAGGTGCTGCCCGCAGAGGAAGTAGTATTTATCCAGAATCACCTTGACTGGAAGGCAAGTGCAGGGAGGGGCAGAGAGGGCTGAGGGTCAGGCCTGAGTAGGGAGAGGCTGGGTTTTCCTGGCGATGATGCTGGGCTCTCAGACGCATGTGTGAGTTCCAGGCTCAGTTCTGCTATTTGGTAGCACATAGACTTGGCCTGAACCTCAGCTTCCTTGTCTGTAAAATGGAGATAGTAACACCGGCCCCATACCCACATGATGTCTGAGGATCAAGAGAGGTCACGTGTGTGGGAGAAATTGAGAAACAGGCTGGTACCTGCCTCTTACCCCCAGTGCTGGCTCAGTACGTTCTGGTAACAGAGGAGGAACCCAGAGTCTGAAGACCCAGTTCTGAGTCCTAGCTCTGCCACCTACCGTGGAACTTAACTTTTTTGTTTTTTGAGATGGAATCTCGCTCTGTCATTCAGGCTGGAGTGCAGTGGCGGGGTTTTGGCTCACTGCAGCCTCCGCCTCCCAAGTTTAAGTGATTCTCCTGCCTCAGCCTCCCGAGTAGCTGGGATTATAGGCACGTGCCACCGTACTCAGCTGATTTTTTGTATTTTTAGTAGAGATGGGGTTTCACCATGTTGGCCGGGCTGTTCTCGAACACCCAACCTCAGGTGATCCACCTGCCTCGGCCTCCCAAAGTGCTGGGATTACAGGCGTGAGTCACTGTGCCCAGCCATACTGGCCAACTGTATACGGATCACTTTCCTTCCTTAGTTCTCAGTTTCCTCATCTGTACAATGGGATGATAGTATCTATAATATCTGCCTCACAGGACTGTTGAGAGCATGTGGTATGATGGTAGTTGTGAAAATGTCTCGTAACTATCAAGTATAGTTCTAGAGTTGGGTGCTTTTATCTGGGTGAAAGAACTGTTGAAAGATAAGAACACATGCACACATGCAGGGGGATCAACACACTCTGGGGCCTGTCGGGCGGAAGGCAGAGGCAGGGAGAGCATCAGGAATTACAGCTAATGGTTGCCGGGCTTTATACCTCAGTGAAGGGTTGATCAGTGCAAACCACAATGGCACGCTTACCTATGTAACAAACCTGCACGTCCTGCACATGTACCCCAGAACTTAGAATAAAAGTTGAACAAAAAAAGTAATTAAAATATATAAAAAAAATAACTAAAATTAAGAAAAAAAGAGAAAGATCTGTTAAGGGCTTGGTCCTTGGTTTTTTTGTTTCTCTTGCTGTCTTTAGATTCTGCCAGCTGCTTTCGAATTCTGTTGTTCTTTTGCCATCTTGGGATGATGGAAAGATGTTGAGTGTGTTTAATCCTTCAGGGAACTGATATTTTAACACTTTTTCTGGCCGTGCATGGTAGTTCACACCTGTAATCCCAGCACTTTGGGGTACCAAGGCAGGAGGATTGTTCGAGCCCAGGAGTTCAAGATCCGTCTGGGCAACGTAGTGAGATCCTTGTTTCTCCAAAATAAAAATAAAAAAAATTAGCCAGGCATGGTGGTGTGCCCCTGTGGTCCCAGCAACTTGGGAGTCTGAGGCAGGAGGATTGCTTGAGCCCAGAAGTTTGAGGCTGCAGTGAGCCATGATCACATGATTACACTCTAGCCTGGGGGACAGAGTAAGACCTTGTCTCAAGCAAACAAACAAACAGACAAACAAACAAACAAACTTTTCCTTAGTGAAGACTCATAGCCAAACACCCTGGCAGGAGGGGACTCCTCCTTCGTAACTGAATTATCTCTTGGCCTGATGGGCCCCTCTCCAGTCCAGTATCATCCTGGGCTGGTCTTAAGAGTAGTGGCATTAAATCTAATAATGGTCCCTGCTTGTCACCGTGTTAGGAGCTTTCCATACATTTCCTCATGTAATCCTGGTAACAGTCTTGGGAGGGAGGTGTTATTACTAACTCACATTACAAACAGGGACATGGAGAATTGAAGGTCAGGCTTTATTTTCCCAGGGCACACAGTACTTCCAGTGTACAGCCAGGGCCCATCTAACTCTCTGGGGAAGCTTGAGATGTGATCGCTGGCCCTGATGCTCCTGGCTTGAGTGAAGCAAGGGAGAAGGAGGACCCAGGTATTACCTAGCTCTTTGGAGTTTGGTTTATGATCAGGAGCCAGAGTGAGGCAGAGTCACCCCAGCCTCCTGGGACAAATCCAGGACACAGCGTTGCCAGTTGAGACTCCAGAAGCCATAGGTTGAGAGAGCCCGGCCCAGGATGGAGGACTGGGTTACAACCTCTGATTACAGAATCTAGGGGCCAAGGATGTGGAAGCCATGTCGGACCTTCTGGGACAGGGAGTGTCTAGCTCTAAATTATGCTTCAGTGCCTGCCTGGCTTTCCCTGGATAACTCTGGCCCCCTTTATCTCCACTGCGGCAGAGTGCATGCTTATGGAAAGCAAGCTCACTTCAACATTAGCCTGAATAGAACAGGATGGCAAGTCTGTTGATGGCACTGCAAACCTCCATCGTGTGGGCAACCAAGACCAAGGAGAAAGGGTTTGGGGTCATTTGCATCTCACACCCATCCAGGGCTCCCAGGGCTTTGAGTGGGGTTTATGTTGTGGCTCTACTTTTCTACCGCCATGAGATGGAAATGAACCTGTTCAATCAGGGCACTGGGGTCCTGTCCCAGCCTTGACCCTGACTGCCGCTACTCCTCTCCGAGCCTCAGTGCTCGCGTGGAAGGGGGACCAGAGGCTCTCTCAGTGTCCTCCAACCAGGCAGTTGGCTGCTACTGCTTGAAATGTCACCACAGTTACAAGTGCAGATTCCTGAAAGGCCAGCTACTCCCTGGCTGCACAGGCAGTCCTGCCCCAATTAGCAAATGCATGTCCTGGGTCACATTTCGCCTGCTGCTGTGTGATGACACACTCTTTTGCAAAACTTGGTTTTTAGCTTGGTCGTTTACGTATGTTATCTCATTAGTGCTCAGGATATCGCTTTGAGGGAGGAAGGACATTTTACAGGTGAGGAGACTGAGGTTATGAGGCAGTGAAGGACTTACTCAAGGTCATGCAGCAGCAAGTGGCAGAGCCAGGATCCCTGTCTCAGATGTCCTGATTCCTAGTCTGGTCCCCAGTGCCCTACTTCTTGCTGTGAAAAGTTGCGGTCAGTAACCTGCTGTGCTCATGTGGATAACAAAGGCAATGACTCCATCACAAGATGTGGGAGCCGAAAACGACCCACATCCCTGCTCCTTCAGTTGAATCTTCTTTATCACGGATAAGGGCCTGAGGCAGAGAGGCCTGCTCAAGACCACACTGGGCCTCAGGCACTAGCCATGGTGAAGGCCAGGCTGAAGGGGGCCAGGTGCCAGCTGCCTGGGGGGTCTTCTCTGCTGCCTCCTCTTTCTCCCCTCCTCACAAGCAGAAACTCTCCCTGTTCTTCCAGCTGCTGCTCAGAGCCACTCAGCTTGCAATCTGCAGAAGATGGGAAGGAGGGGGCAGGGGGCGTGGCGGCCCTGCAAATTGCCTGCGTGGGTTAGGAACATGTGCCACTGTGCTCTCCCTCTAGAAGAAGTCACCTGGGATAGAAGCCATCTGGAACAGATGGGGGCTGAGTTCATCTCCCCTTTCACTCTTAGAATAAGGTTCTCTTCAAAGCAGGGGGTGGATACATGTGGTTTCTTTCTTTCTTTCTTTCTTTCTTTCTTTCTTTCTTTCTTTCTTTCTTTCTTTCTTTCTTTCCTTCTCTCTCTCTCTTTCTTTCTTTCTTCTTTCTCTCTCTTTATCTTTTTTTCTCCTCAAATTCCTTTTATTATACCAACGATTTTTTTTCTGCAAAGCTTTATGCAGATCACCTGCCCCTGACTGTGGGGGTGGGGGCTGCCACTTACTGAGGGGGTGAAGGACAAGTAGGGGCTGCCACTTATGAGGTGATGATGGGAGGGGCGGGGCTGCCTCTTACTGAGGGGGTGAGGGCAGGGGTGGGGCTGCCTCTTACTGAAGGGGTGAGGGCAGGGGTGGGGGACTGCCTCTTACTGAAGTGGTGAGGGCAGGGGTGGGGGACTGTCACTTATTCAGGGGGTGAGTGTGGGGGTGGGGGGGTGGGCCCTGTCATTTACTTAGAGGGTGAAAGTCGGGTAGGGGCTGTCACTTACTGAGGACAACCACAATGATGATACTCGCCAGGCTCAGTAGTGCTACGATGATGGGGATCCCCACTTTTCTGAAGGTCTCCATGGGGGTACGGGGTTTGCGCAGGGGGCTGACATCTGTAGGAAGGTGGGAGGCAGAGGGGAGAGCATGCCGTCAGCACTTGGTAGTCCCTGAGCCAAACTCCACAGCCTGCCGCCCTCTGGCCGGTGACAGCAATGCCTTGAGGACAGTTATAGTTAATGCTGGGGGGTTATTCCTGCAGACAAGGCTTAGCTGCATCAGCACATGGTTACCCTGCCTCTTCTCACTTATCCAGGCTCACCTATCGTTCATGAGTGCCCCTCAAAGGAGCCCCCAGGCCAGGCCACCTCCCCTGTGTCTTGCCTGAGCCTGTCCCAGGACATTTCTGGGTTTCGTCTGACCTTTGCCTGCCCGAGAGAGGCCTGAGCCCCTGGAGCATGTACCCATTCACTGTGCCACCATTTATCCTTTTCCAGACCTCCTGACTTAGCTTTTGATTAAACATTAAGCTTCCGGGAGGCAGGGCCCTCCAGCATAGTGCGTGCTTAGTAGAGGCTTAATAAACATTTGCGAATCAATGCATCTTCAATCCCACAAACAGCAAGTCCCAGCCTGGTCCTTGTCTTTAAAGAGATTACCATCTGGGGGAAGAGGCAGATGCAGATGCCAGTCCAGCCCGGTGGAAGATAATGTATGTTATAATACAGACATCTTCAAAGGTACGCTGGTGAAAGTCTCCTCAGCCCGTGGCACTTAAGTGCAGGTCGGGAGGGAGGCACTGGCTCAGCTCAGTCAGAGGCATGGAGGGGGCCTGTAAGCTGCCTGATGCGCCTGGCGTACCAGGGGAATAAAGGCAAGTTGGAAGGCAGGATGGGTGAAGGCAGCTGTGGAGACTCTTGAACACTATGCTAAGGAGTCTGGGTTTTATCCTGAAGGCAGTGAGGAGCCGTTGAAAGTTTTTGAACAGTGGAGAGACAGGATCAAATTAATTTTAGAAAGATGGATCTAGTCAGGTGTGGTGGCTCACGCCTGTAATCCCAGCACTTTGGGAGGCCAAGGTGGGTGGATCACCTGAGGTCAAGAGTTCAAGACCAGCCTGGCCAACATGGTGAAACCCTGGCTCTACTAAACATATAAAAACTAGCCAGGCGTGGTGGTGCATGCCTGTAATCCCAGATACTCGGAAGGCTGAGGCAGGAGAATCGCTTGAACCCAGGAGGTGGAGGTTGCAGTGAGCAGAGATCGTGCCATTGTACTCCAGCCTGGGTGACAAGAGCAAGACTCCATCTCCAAAAACGAAAAGAAAGATGGATCTTTCATCAGAGAGGAGATGGATTGGAACAAGACAGTCTGGGGTTAGGGAGACCAGGTAGGAGTTGATCACTGCCTAGAACAGAGGTGATAATAACTACATTGTCAATTGCACATCATTATCCAAGAAGAAGGAACTTGAAAGGGAAAACATAGGCAAAATTAATATCAGTAAGTGTCAGAGGTACATTCTTTTAAGTCCCCCTCTCCTTGTGGGAAATAAGCTGGGGAGGTGCCATGGGGATTTCTCCCCTGGGGGAACTGGGGCAAGAATTCTGGAAACCCTGGAAAGCAACGGACCGGCTCTCCTGCCCTCACCTCCACATGGTTGGCTCCCTCTCCTCCTCCCAGTCTTTCTTCACTGTCACCTTCACAGTGAGGCCTACCTGGATCTCCCTATTTAAAATGGAGCCTTCCAAACTTTCCTATCCTCCTTTCTTGCTTTCTTTTCTTCCAAAGCACGCATCGCCTCTAACATATGCTATATTTGACATATTTTCTGTCTCCTCCCACCCTTCCACGAAATGAAGACTCGTTGAAGACAGAACTTGTCTGTTTTGTTCACTGCTGAATCCCTGGTACCTAGAACAGTGCTTGGTCCATAGTAACTGCTCAACAAATATTTGTCACATGAACAGATGAATTTTTCTTGGCTCTGTTCTCTTAAGCACATCCCTTCTACTACCTACTTCTTTTCTTTTTTCTTTTCCTCCCCTCCCCTCCCCTCCCCTTCTCTCTCTCTCTCTCTCTCTCTCTCTCTCTCTCATTCACGGAATCTGCTGCCCAGGCTGGAGTGAAGGGGCAGTGGCATGATCTTGGCTCACTGCAACCTCTAACTCCTGGGCTCAAGCCATCCTTTTACCTTAGCCCCCTGAGTAGCTGGGACTACAGGCATGTGGCATCACACCCAGTTAGCATTCATATTTTTTGTAGAAATGGGGTTTTACCATGTTACCCAGATAGGTCTCAAACTCCTGGGCTCAAGCAATCCACCCACCTTGGCCTCCCCAAGTACTAGGATTACTGGCATGAGCCACCATGCCCGGCCCCTTCTACCTTTCTTACAGGTCACATTTTATTCTGCCTTGAATGATGGCTAATCACATGTCTGGCTCTATTTCTTTCCTCAGCTCTTCAAAAGCAGAGAATGGCATCCTGCCAGAGATTGGCACCCAGTGAATGCCAGTACTAATGAATCTGTTGACAAAGGAAAGCTTAGGACACTTTGTGTTTCCCCAAAAGAGAGTTTTAACTTCAGACACAGAAGCCAGGCAGTGGGGATGTGGACTGGAATGGTATTGCCCATAAACTATGACCTGGCACAAAGTAGCTTATCAGTAATATTTGCTGATACTGTTTTTAAAGTTCCAGCAGCCAGTCTTCAGAATTGTCCTCTTTCCTGTGGCCATGACTATGATGACATTTTGTTCATGAATTCATGCATGATTTATTTATTGAGCACCTACCTCTGGAAACATGAGATTGGTTTGTTTTCTCCAAGAGTGAGTGACCCATGGGGATCCCTGGGTTCCTGTGTCCAGGCCCAGATATTCTCGGGGAGCATCTGCTTCCCCCACTAGGAAGGAAAGAGCTTTCATACCTAGTTTAAGTTAACGAACACAGTGAGCTATGAACAGCCTCTTTGCCAGCTATTGTTCCTCCCTCCAGCCTGTCCTATCCACCGCAGCTAGACAGAGCTTCCTAAAAGCTTGCTTTCATCCTGTCACTTCTTACTCGAGGGCCTACAAGAGACTTCCACATCTGGATTATGTCTTTCAAAGCCAGTGTAATTTGGCCTCTCTCTCTGAGCCAAATGGACTTCCACTGCTAGTCTTCGCCAACCCCCAGTGCTGCATAGTTCTGCATAGGTACGTTCACTCCTCGAGCAAACTCAGCTTGTTTTCTGGTTTGAGAGTTCTCAGGCTTGTTCAGGTGGTGGAGCAGCTGGCACCCTGGTGTTCTTTGGGGACACCATGGCCTACTCTTATATTAAATTCCAAAGTATCAACTAGGCACCATTTTACTTGCTAAAGATTACTTCGTCTGTGGTCATTGTTAACTCATGACCCAGAACTGGGAAATAAATAACCTGTCAAGCAGGATTGGCCATTTTCTCACTGATCTGTTCATATTAACGTGTTCCTTGCTCGTCTGTTTTGCTGATCTAGCAGGCTATCAGGACTAGATATTAATGGTTTAAGAAAATGCAATGGAAGAAAAACACCTCCTTAAATTTGGGATCATTCTATTTTTTATCTTATTTTTCTTCCCCTGGAAATCAGGCAAGCACTGCCATTTTTCATGAAAATGCTTCTGGCCAGCTTGTTCCTTGGCAGCACAGTGGGACTGTGAACTCCATGAGACCAGGGACTTCGGCTGTCTTAATTATTGTGATAGGCCAGCGTCCAGCCCAGGGCCTGGCACATGGCAGGTACTTACAGTTTTAGTGAAAGAATAAGAGTAACTGAATGAATGAATTGGAGAATCATTGCTTTGGTGATTTTAGGTTTGTTGGTCCTGCTTCCCCAGAGACCAGGCCTCCTGCTTCTAGAATGAATCCTGGAATGTTTGCTGAGTGATGGATAGACGGGTGGCTGGATGTCACCCATGGCATTTATCACTTTGGTGGTGGTGGTGAGGGCCAGGCAAGAGTGGCTTAGGATCTACTTGGCAGCTGAAACTCAGAGGCTAAGGTGGACAAACGAAAGCCGGACCTGAACTTACCAAGGCTGTTCAGAGGTTGATCACTGTCAGGATCCTGCAATTGAAGGAAAAACAGTCAGTGAGTTGAGGTGGGAGCCTCTCCGGCTGGGGCTAGCAGCCTAGGGGAGGTTCTTGGGTCTTGTCTATATTCCCTTCTCCCTGAGTCTAAGTTAGGGGTCTCTGTGTTATCCAAATACCTGGTTCAACAGGAAACATTCAGTCATACACCTATTTGATCTGTTTCAATTAGTTTACTTATTAATTTGCTTAGCCAGTAGCAACTGATTAGCAATTGTAGAAGCAACTGGCTGCTGGTTTGTTGTGTAAATTGCTGAATTCCTTAAGACGATTCTGCTCTACTGTCTGCTTTTGTCAATGATTTGTCTATGTTTACAGATACTATATTTCTGTAAAAACTTGAATCGACATTTTACAAAAGGGAACACCCAACTCGCCAACAAGTACCAAACAATGCTTAATGTCATTACTTATCCGGCAAATGCAGATTCAAACCACAATAAAATATCTCTACATAAACACCAAACGGCTAAAATGTAAAAAACTGACAATACTGTGTTGATGACGATGTGGGAAAACAGGAGCTCTCAGACCTTGTTGGTGGGAGTGTAAATTGGTACAAATACTTTGGAAAATGGTTTGGCTGAATCCACTAATGCTAAACATACAACTATTTTATGATTCTATGATCCAGCAATTCTGCTCCAGGAGATAGCCAAGAGAAACGAGTACAAACGTCTAGCAAAAACCCTGTGCATGAAGGTCTACAGTCGCTTCATTTATAATAGCTAAACATTGGAAAAACCCAAACGTCAGTCACTGGTAGAGTAGATAAACTGGTATTTTCATATAATAGAATATAATTCAGCAATAGACAAGAATAACCTAATTCAAAATGCAACGATATGGATGAATTCCATAGACATAATGATGAAGGGAAGAAAATAGTCACAAAAAGTACAATTCCACTTATCTAAAGTGTAAAAGGCAAGGTTAATCTATAGTGATAGAAGTCAGAACAGTGGTTACCACTGGGGAGGGGGGGCAGTTAGTTATTGGAAGGAGCACAGTGGAGTCTTCTGGAAAACTTCTGGATCTTATTCTTGACATTGGTTACAAGGGTGTTTATATGTGCAAAATTTCACTTTAGACTTGAATGCCTTACTACATATATGCTACCAACACTACGACATTTCTGAGCGTGGTCTTAGGCCACCATTGATGCATGTACACAAATACACGCAAAGGCATTTTTACTTACTCACACCACTCCACGTGTGCACTCGGCACGCACATAGCCACATAGAGTCACGTGGAGGAGCCACTGACACAAAGGCTCACATACAAAATACATGCACACCCTTTCGGCCAGGCAAATGTTACAGGGAGGATGCTGTCTGGGTTTACGCCCTCTGAACCCTGTGGTCTAGGTCTCCACCCAGGGACTTGCCTGCCCTATTGTGCTGAAGTCATGACCCGCCTTGGTGGTGGTTGGAGGAGTCGCAGGACCTTGTACATTTCCGACTGGAGATTTTTTCTGTTCCTCTTGGGAGTGAGAGGGCCCCTTTCAATCCCTGAGTGGGTGACCCTGATTAGATATAGAGGGAGGGTCCCTGGGTGTTGCCTGCTCCATGGCTAAGCATGGTGGACACAGCAGTTGGGAGGAGCTCTTTCTTTTCCTCCCAAACGAGACTGTAGTCTGCTGGAAGGACATGCCTGGCCTTGCCCTTGGGTGACACTAGGCCATGGGCAGCCTTGTGGTGTAGCACACAGCTTGGTTCTGCAGTCTGCAGGGGTCAAGTCAGAATACAACCCCGGCCTCCTGTTAACTGTGTGCTTTCAGGAAAGATCCTTCACCTCTCTGAACTCCAGGCTTACCCTCTGTAGAGTGGTGACGATAAAACCTGCTTCAAAAGACTACTGTGAGGATTACATGAGTTGTCTGGTGGGAAATGCTGGGCTCTCACATGGGAACTCTCTTCCCTCTGCCCTCCCATTGAAACTGCCTTTGCAAAATGATGCCTGAGACAGTGAAAGAGATCTAACTTAACCGACTCCATCTTACTTCTAACCTCCAAGCTGTCCTTGGTCATTCCTGGGCATAGGCTGAACTAACTTTGGGAGAAACTCAGCTTATAGTTTAAGCAAAGTTGGTAACAGCTCTTTCCCAAAGCAGACCTCCTTCTTGTCTGGGGACTAGATTAACATTAGCCCCGAGATTAGAAATTATGGTTTAGGAATCATACAGCTGGAGGCCACAAGACTCTGACCCTCCCCAAACTGCTTCTAAGATCAGTGCTTGAGATATTTTGCAGACCCTGCACTTGATGGATCAGCTGGCACCACCCAGATCGATAAACTGGCTTATCTGATCTCTGGCCCCCCACCCAGGAATTGACTCAGTGCAAGAAGTCAGCTCCAGCTCCATATGATTTCGTCCCTGACCAATCAACATTCCTGGCTCGCTGGCTCCCCCCTACCCACCAAGTTATTCTTAAAAACTGCTCCCTGAATGCTCGGGGAGACTGATTTGAGTAATAATAAAACTCCAGTCTCCCGCACAGCTGGCTCTGCGTGAATTACTCTTTCTCTATTGCAATTCCCCCGTCTTGAAGAATCGGTTTTGTCTAGGCAGCAGGCAAGGTGAACCCCCTAGGCAGTTACATCATCCTCTGTATTTCTGTAGCATTTGGTACAGGAGTTTACCACAGGACTTCTCTCATAGGATGGTCAGCATTTCCTTTTGTTTTTTCTTCTTTTTGGTTGCTTTTTAAAATTTAAAATTTTATTTTTAATTGGCCGCTCTTTCTCATTGCCTTTGTACCTTTGGTGTTTAGCACCAGGCTGGTACTGAACTTTGAGCTCTGCATTGTAGTTCATTCCCAGCCGTCTCTCCTCCACCATCACCAGGGCTGGATCGAGCAGACTGTTTCCAGGCTGAAGATGAGACCCAATTGGGCAACTCTGCATTGTGGCTAGAGTCAAGGTAGGATAATATCAACAGTAATTCACACCCAACTGGCATGTGATGGTTTACAAAGTCCTTGCATCTAACTCTTGTCTAGTCAAGTCGATATCAATTGTCTGCTAACCAGGATGGGCAGCGTTAAAGAATTAATTATTAACTAAACAAATGCTTGTAAAGCATCTACATTGTACCAGGCACTACTCCAGGAGGATTCAGAGGCAGATTAAGAAACCACCCCAGCAAGATGGGGAATATAGTGCCCAAAAAAGACAGCAGAGAGTCTGTCCCTGAGAAGCTTGTTTCTTGGTGGAGAGGAGGGCTAGGGGAAGGCGGAGGACAGGCCATAAACAGATAAACCAGAAAAGGTCAGAGAGGGGTAGGTGCTATGCAGAGAGTAATCCAGGCTGAGAGGAGACAGCGCCTGGATGGAGACTGAGAATGGGAGCTCTAGGGAGGGGCTCAGGATGGTTGTGGAGGATCTTGCTGGTCTCCCTAGAGGAGGTGACAAGAAGGAGCCAAGTGGCAAGGAACAAGCTTGGGGGGTTGGAGGAACTGAATAGAGATGGGCATGGCTGGAGCAAGGCAAGGGCCTAAGGAGAGAGGAGGTTGGTGGTAAAAAAAACGCCATATGTGTTTGGAAGATACAGGCAATAGGCCTCGCCGACGGACTGGGTGTGCTTGGGTTTAGTTTTGTGGGTAAGAGGGTGCTTGCTGAGCTGTGGGAGGCTAGAGGAGCGGCTGGTGGAGCAGGGAAGTGGGCCCTTTCTTGTCGATTCATTCCCTTCCACTGAGTCTACTTGTGCATGCATGCCTGCATTCATTGAGGTAGGTAGGGCAAATTTCTTTTGTTTATTGTTAATTTGACAAATATTGACTATACACCTTTGATGGACCTGGAATTGTGCTAAAAGCTGACGCACAAAGGAAGCTTATATTCTGCACTTTCTGGGGCCTTGGATTCCTCATCACTGGACTGAACAGTGGCTAATTGTGTATATGTGTGTGTGTGTGTGAGAGAGAGAGAGAGAGAGAGAGAGAGAAAGGAAGAGAGAGTCTCATTCTTTCGCCCAGGCTGGAGTGCAATGTTGTGATCTCAGCTCACTGCAACAGCCACCTCCTGGGCTCAAGTGCTCCTCCCACCTCAGCCTCCCGAGTAGCTGGGACTATGGGCATGCACCACCACGCCCAGCTATTTTTAATTTTTTCATAGGATGAGGTCTCACTGTATTGCTCAGGCTGGTCTCGAACTCCTGGACTCAAATGATCTGCCCACCTCAGCCTCCCAAAGTTTTGGGATTACAGGTGTGAGCCACCATGACTGGCCCTTAATTGTTTTCAATTGCTATTCACTGAGTAGTAGCTGTGGGAAAAAATTCTATACCTGTTTGAAACCAAAAGAGAGAAAGAAAAGATGAACTAAAGCAAAACTGTAAGCTAGAATGATAGGAACTGTGACTATCTTGTTAACTGTGGCATCCCTGATGTCTCCTACAATGTACAGTAGATAACGAGTGTTGAAAAAATATTTGTTGAATGAAAGAATTAGTGAAAATATCTCAGTTTGAGGACTCAATCTCAGGTCAGTCTTTACGAAGCTGACTGTGGTATATTCACACAATGACATATTAGGCTGCAGTCAAAACAAATGAACTATAGTGACACAAAATAATATGGATGGGGCCAGGTGTGGTGGCTCACACCTGTAATCCCAGAACTTTGGGAGGCCGAGGCGGGTAGATCATGAGGTCAGGAATTCGAGACCAGCCTGGTGAAACCCTGTCTCTACTAAAAATACAAAAATTAGCCAGGCATGGTGGCAGGTGCCTGTAATCCCAGCTATTCAGAAGGCTGAGGCAGGAGAATCCCTTGAACCTGGGAGGCGGAGGTTGCAGTGAGCGAGATAGTGCCACTGCACCCCAGCCTGGGGGACAGAGTGAGACTCCATCTCAAAATAATAATAATAATAATAATTATAAGGATGATATTAGAATGTAATATTAAGTGAAAAAGTTAGTCCCAAAAGATTACATATAGCACAGAATCTTTTCCATAGAGAAGCAAGGAAATGA